TTGTAGGAGTGTCAGTTAAATCCCACTATTCAATTAGAATAGGTCAAGAGTTGACGGAGGTTGTTACTGACTAGCTGAATTCTTTCTAATGTGTAAACTCAAAACTAAAGTTTTGCGCGAATATTCGAAACAAGCAAAGAAACAAAAACCTCAAAGCTTTAAACGTTAAGCATATTGTTTGGGAGAAAAAAAAAGTTGAATAAATAGTGGTGGAGTTATACAAAAAAGAAACGAACAATGATCAACCATAATATTATATTCACATTTTTTATTGACTCACAGAAGTTAAAACTAATTTGTATAAAATTTAAAATCAATTGAAATTGTTTTCTTAAAGCGTACCTACGCATATTTCGACCAAACTTCGAGCAATTTTGTATGAACATTAACTGAACATAAATTGTATACTTGTCATCTTCCTTTAACGGAATGGACTCGACCACGATTTCGGTAAGGCACAGACTATGCTGTTTCGAAGCTTCTTGTATACAGAATGGTATATACTTAAAATACCAAAGGTTGCTCTCCTCAAGGTCTGCAGACAGTGGAAAAGGCGTTCAATTTGTTATTGCACAGTCAGCTGACGACTGTATCAGACTGCGGCACTACACTCGCAGTCATCTGGACAGAACCACTGTTGTAGATTTGTTCAGAGAAACTAGAAAGGTAATTTTACAAACTATTCTGAAGAAGCGTAAATAACAGACTTTTAAAACTGAATTGTGACAGTAAACTTCAGTGATTTACGGCCGATAATAAGGCACAACAGAATTGACGCAATCAATCTTCAGCAGCTTATAAAAAAGGTAAGCTCAAGTATATTTACTAGTTTGGAAGCACTATTCATAAGTTTTAAAAATATGTATATATAAATCAAGTTTAGATACCTTAGTTTCGCACAATATTATTTTAAAGTATCAAGTATTATATAGTTCCAACATGGCAGCAATGTCACTTGTCTTTTGAGGAAACGTTTTTTAACTGGAGCTTCAAAACACTAGAAATTTTGGCACTTATGTAACGAGGTTAGAAACAACATAATATAAAAATGGAAACCAATGAAAGAAAATGTGAAAAGGAGTTAAAGAACCATGTAAATAATAAATATTGATGGGCTATTAAGACTTAAATTAGGTATTATGCGATTTGGGATAAAAAAAAAGCAACACAAATACAGAATGATAAATAAGATTTGATATATATACATATATAACAGCTAAATATTATGATCTGGGGTGAAATAAGTACCTAATTAGTGCGATTTTATTCGTTTGTTTGTTTTAGCGCAAAGCTACAGAATGGGCTATCTGTGCTCTGTTCACCGCGTGGAAACGAACCCCGCTATTTTTGTAGTATAAACACGTGAACTTACTGCTGACCCAACGTGAGACTTAAACCTAACCGAAGAATAACGTTTGGAATATAAGAGGTGAACCAGAATACGATTCCGTTTGAGCTACACAAGTGTATAAAAGATATGTTATTGCTAAACCCTGGAATAAACAGTATACAGAAATATTAAGGTTTCAATTACAAAATATAAAATTAAGAATATATATATATATATTGCAGAACAATAATTATAAGAGATACAATTAGAATGTACCCCCCTTTTTTGCAAACAACTGTCCCTCTTAAACAACATATATAATAAAGTCGGTAACACAGCACGTACAGCCTAAGAATTTAAGACGGATTGTAGTTGCCAGCATTATTACTGGTTCAACTTAAGTTGAAATTTCTTTTTTGATAAATCAGTAAAAATGCGAAAGGTACCCCTCCAGATTCAAAGTGCTTCCGCTACCTATGTTTATAAAAAATATGAGCATGAGTTTAACAGCCAAGCAAAGAATGCAATGTGAAATATAAAACTAATGAAGTAATAAATGTGGCATAAATACTAAATAGCACAATTTGGGTATAAGAGAAATGTGATCACAAAACTTGTGGAAAGCTATTTAAAAATAATTGTTGGAATAAAAGAGACAGAGAAACAGTGAGGCTAGTCGTAAAAAGTTCAAAAAATGAAGGAACAAAACATTTGTCACATGTACAAGTTTCGTTACAACAATAACCACGCCAAAAAGTAGTTCTGGGGGTTTTGGTGAAATTTCAAAGTTCACGAGAAGTTCTGTACATAAGATGTTAAAAAAAGTACCTTCAGAGCGAATGAATATACGTCTAATGGTGTATGTAAAAGTACCTAAGTGACATTTAGAAAGTGTGATCAAGTTTCCCGGGGAAAAAAGAAAAGTGCGTTAGAACACTGTACGTAACAGTTAGTCCAGAAAAACACGTTTTCCTTCAGGAACTTGGATAGAAAATTGCCTCCTCAAAATGCTGCTTCCTTGACTCGGCGTCTAGATGTTGTCGATCAAGTTTTTCATGTCTAACTGATAAATCTTACAGAAATTATAATTTTCTTACAGAACATGTGTAAAGGGAGACATTTTTGGGTCACATGGGGGAAATGACGTGTGTAGAGACGTCATATGCAACGAAACGAATTAATGATTAGGTAAAAGCTAATGTAACTTTTATTAACTAAGGCCTGTTTTAAAATGCCTCTACCATATCAAGACTTTTAAATTAGCTTGTAAGAATATAGTGTAATTGTGTTTCGTGTAAGCTAAATAAATTAAAATGAAGTTTGGGTACCAAGCAGACATTCGCATGTTTCTCTGTAAATGCTGCAGAAATTTTCCAACTTCACTTTAAAATGTATGTTTCTCAGTTTCCTTCTGTCTTGCCACTATATATATTTGATAAATGTAAAAATAAAATAAAATGTTTTCCGGAGAATAAATATTTATGCTACTAGATGGCGATAAGTAACTAGCTGGTATTGTATGTTTCTGCTGACAATAAATTGTCAGTATGACTTTTTCCATACGCAAATTATTGTAATATTGGTCCTTTTATTTCTTTTATTCAAAGAAATATAACTTACAGTTTACGTTTATCACAAAAACAACAACAACAATAGCGTACTACATAGGAAGCCTGATAAATTAATTCTGCATTCACAATAGACTAGATCACAACAAATACAAATTTAATTTTCAAAAATACAGCATCAGTTAGTACTGACTATTTGGATGTATATAAGGTACAAGATTGAAGTCATTATCTTAAAAAAATACAATTAAATATAATTTGTCAATGATTTTTTAATTAGTGGATAAAATCTCTTTCCATTTTCACAGCTGTCAAAAATGATTAATACTGAAGAATTCAGAAGTGTAAAAGCTTTACGAAGAAGATTGTTCTGAACGAATATTATTCGATCAAAACCTCAAGACAATTATCCACCATTTTTTCTTCTTTCGAAAATTCAATTCTAATTCTTCCAAGATCTTTTCAAATGTATCAAGAGCACAAAAAATTTAAAAAAGCAACTTCTTTTACAAAGTATAACATATATTTATAAATATCAGGCAATTATACAACTTTATAAAACAAATTAAATATCATTTCCATTTTCACGGTGACATAAAGAGCAATAAATAAATATTAAGTGAAGTAAGCCAACCATAATCATATTTGCTTATTAGAAACGTAAATATTAAAAGTATGGCGATACAGCGATACGATACGAGAGAAGTCGTGACACGGTTATATAGATACATCGTCTGATAAGATACGATTTATGTATCTTAACGAAATTTGGCAAGCTTTCATTAAACATTATAACTCTTTTGTAGAGAAAAAAATTAGAATTTCTAATAAAGTATTTTTGCTAAAAATTAATGATTCAGTAAAGTAAGATGAGTATTAAGTACTACATGTTGTCTTCATTTCTTTTATCAAAATAACATAACAAATTAACAATAACAAAATAGATAGACAGATATTAACTTTTTTATATTTTACTTCTCTTGCCAGCTGCCATTTAGTTGATCAAACCTGAGAATTTGATAAAGCACTGTAAAGTGTGAAGTACTTAAATAAGACAATGTTAGTAATATAGATAATAAAATACAGACAAGACTGTCAAACTTTGTAATAAACCGTTGATAACACTTCTGTATCTAGATACGTATCGTATCGACTACTATGATACATCATTATTTATGACAAAATCACAGAGTTTATTAATAAAGAATAACGAAAAAATATTTTAGCTTAAAAGTTCCAGATACGTATTTATGATTTCAACTGTTATTAGTCCTTCAAATACTATACACATCACAGACTAAGGATGGAAGATTTTGGGTATATGGTCAGCACAAAGATGGTGTGCTTATCTCATGAACTGCGGGAAGTTACTTCCGATTTTAAAATTGTATTTCTCTGCACAGCCGAATTTAATTTTGACCTTAACTATTGGATGCTATTCAAAAAAGGCTTCTTTAGTTAGTTAACTCTAAAACTTCTGTTATTGTGCGTGTTGTTATTGGCTTTTATTCCTCACGTTCTGTTTTGGTTTGTTCCTCACGCGCGGGCCTGTAAGGGAAATGCAAAACTTTCGCTTTCACTGGGTTATAAAAATAATTCATTTATTCATAAAAAATAGTAATATTTAAGTTAATGTCCACGCTCTGTATATACCTGTCTGTGTTTATCATTCTTACAAAGCAAACGTTATTTCACTTCGACTAGCAGAAGCGCAACAGACATGTTGTTAACGGTGAGCCTTGACTTTTGTATTCTCTTAAAGCGAAACAAAATCAGTCTTAGGTAAACATGTAAATGTTTATGCTTACCAGTTTGAGATTTGAGTGTTATTATTATTTTCATTCTGCCTTTTACTTTTAACGATTTTGATGAAGAAAAATGGTCATGGACTGCGATGTTTATGTCCGTCATTAAACCAATTTATGTTATTATTAGATTGGGAACATTACATTTAATGTGTATTCCTTCTTAGGATTACAGAGCAGTATTGATATCACAACACAGTCGAGTCGTTAACACTAAAGGAACTTTTTCAATGATACACTGTATAAATAGACATTTAATAAAGCGAATTACTCAAAAAATTAATTACAAGTAAAACTTTAGAAAGGAATTCCGGACTCAAGTAATCTGTCAATAAGCGGTGATAAAAGCGTGGAGTCTTGAAGTTTTAAGCAAGATAACCGACGAAGTCCTTGAATACTTAAAGAGCGAATGTCAGGGAGTTTAGCAATAATCTGAGAGAAGTAACTTGTTCTCTTATGAGTTGTGATGGTATGAAATATATGTTCTTGCAGAACCTCAACAATTTTCATTTGTAGTTGGTCCACTTTCCAGGAACTCTTTAGTCCATGTCTTTCTAGATTTGTAACAAAATTAAGTAAACAAAGAATTAGTACACCTGTCTACCTTGCCTTCAAGACCTGGAAAACAGATATTTGGAAAGTTACGTTTTCTTTTGGTTTTACAAAAGCCATAAAATGTTAACAAGTAATTGTAAGTAACATACCAAAGTGGGAGAACATCAATTTTATAACCGCTCAAGAGCTATACATCAACAACAAATAATATAAAACATGGTCAAGAAACGATGTAAACGGTATATTTCCACACATATACATATATAACACTCTTTATACAACACAGGTGCATACATATTTTTGAAATATTTTTAATATTATCAGATTTATTTTACTGTTTCAGCAGTTATGATATAAAACATAGATTAACGGAACATATGATGCTTAATCAAATAACAGTCTTAATATATTAACACAGAACTAAGTACGTTAAAAACATTGAATAGGGGCAGAAACATGCTTACAATTTGAGAAGAGGAAGAGTCGGCCCAGAGTTGCAAATACCAGACTCTGCCGACCTGAAGATTCGAGAAAGTCTAGTATTTTCAACTCGGAGGCCGATTTCGAATTACAAAAAAATTCGGATTTTTCGCTAGTCTATAAAATTGTAAGCTTTTTTTATTTAACGAGTTGCGTATACCTCAGCTTGATGGGCTTAGATACGGATGTTATTCCAACAACACAATATATCAGAGGTTACAATAAGCCGTCTCCGTTTCTACGTTCGAAGTGACCCTTAACACTGCCCAAACAGAGTAGGGATCAGCAGTAGTGTTTTAACAACTACACATGTTAACATGCCAGAGTTAACGGTAAACTATCTTCATTTCTACGTTCGAAGTGATCCTTAACACTGCCCAAATAAAGTAGGGATCAGCAGTAGTGTTTTAACAACTACACATGTTAACATGTCAGAGTTAACGGTAAGCTATCTTCGTTTCTACGTTCGAAGAGATCCTTAACACTGCCCAAACAGAGTAGGGATCAGCAGTAGTGTTTTAACAACTACACATGTGCTGTGACTTAAATGACACAACAAATAACGAATTTGTGTATTAATACCAACAGAGCAGGACTCTTAATTCTCTGTAACGAAAACATCCTAAACTGAATAAAAACGTCTGCACATTTAGTAACAAAACAAACATATAACCGAATATTAAGAAATAGCTTTAAAGTTTCTGAAGCTATTTATTACTCTACCACTGTAATTAGATGAACAGTAGCTCGCAGTGACAAAACCAGAAAGAGTTCACGGCCAAAACTGAAGCCCAATTATAATAAATAATCCATAAGGACAACAGAACAGTCAGGAAAGGATGTAGGCCAAAAATCAATGGTGTTCAACGTTTCGCAAATATTTTTCCTGATGATGCAAATTTCAAAAGTGAAACGTCAAAGATCTGTTTCAATTTTTAACTTATATATGCTTATTATTTGGTTTACATTAGTCTGAAGTCTATTATTTCTAATCTTGTCGCTGTCTAACTATATTTTGTAATTGTTTCAAGCTATAGCTTTAACTTTGGTGAAGAGTAAAAAAAACTTTATATCTCCTGCACTTGATATAAAGGCCAATTAATTTTCATTAGAACATATGGATAGTTTTACGAACCTGCTACGTGAGTAACTAATATTGATAAATAATCATGTTTTCTTCCAGAATTACGTTTCACGCATGTGCAGGAACTGTTCCCTGTAATTAAGTATTGTTTGTACCAAGATTTTCTTACCTGTTATTAAGACTAAGGCACAGAGACAGGCGAAGGTAGACACGTCTATATCTAAACCATGTAAGCTCCTGGAGAAGCCCACGATTGAGTCCAGCCAGTTACCAAAGCCACTACGACACTGCTCCTCCTGTAGAACCACTCCATTACAAAATGTTAAGCTATGGTCATCCGGCTTCATACTTGCGTTACAGGAGAGATTAAGTGAAAATCACAAATTATTTAAGAGTCATGGCTCTGCTTCTTCAAGAACATATAAAAATACGTAAAACAAATCGACATTTTTCCAGATAACAGCAAAGGTAAAGCAAACCTGGTAATTCAAGAAAACTACTTATTATTTCAACCTTAAACCCCCTCCCTACTAGTGTCTCAGCGGTAGGTCTGGGTGCTTATAAAGCTAGAAATTGTGTTTTGATACCCAAAGTGGACAGAGCACAGATAGTCTATTGTTTAGCTTTGCGCTTAACAACAAAGAAAAAAAATCAACCTTAAGATAGCTTAAGTATTGCATAATGATTTACAGCGATTATGTAAATAATTGCCCCGGAACATCATTCCATTTGCAAGAATGTAAAGAAAAGGCCAATAAAGTTTATTGAAAAAGTTTATTGTCACAAACATTACTATTAATGAGTAAAGATGAGCTATAGTGCTGAGATTCGAAAGGAAATGATATTATTAATCTATATGTTAACCAGTATCACGATTTATAAGAATCGTGTTTCTAGCCCACATACTCTGGTAGTACGTTTTCTGTTACAGTGAACTGTTGTGATGTTCAAACACACTGATATCCATCAGATAGTTACAAGTATCCGCAAAATGCGGCTTCCAGGAATATTATACAGAGAATAATAATTAACTCGGACAGCAAAGGAAGCATAAACACATCCAAAAACATCTACAGGATCAAAGCAAGATTGGGATAAAGAGAACAAGAGATTACTCACTTTATATTAAAATGGGATCCCATAATCCTTAGACTGCCTACGTCAACGTTAGTTCAGATAAACATATTAAAGGGAGGTAAATCTTAACTTATACTAGCTTGTACAAGTACTTGTACCACTCCTTGAAATGAGCATAACCCTACTACAGAAGGCTGGCACATAAAGAGGGCTAATCAGGTATAAGCCACTAAAGAACAAGTATTGTAGTATACAATATTTATCTAAGGTAAAGGATAGTGTATATTTATGGCCTTCTTACATATTGTTTACTAGGAAGAAGCTAACTAGATGTAAAACATCTGCATAAGATGGTAAAATATGATTATATTAATATTATCACACTGCTATTAGAATGTTTGCCGTTATTATAAGTCGTCGTTTTAACTAAACAAATTGTTATTAAAAGTCATAACGTTAATCTATATGGTAGAATAAATACTATGAACTATTTTACTAAAAACTATATTGTTAGTCTACAAGTTAAAGAAATGACGTCTTTTTTCACGCACATTTTCATTCACAAATTACGAAGAACATTGTTTAGTGAAGTAGTTTTATATACATTACACTGTCATTATAAACTTGTTAAGGGATAACACGTTTTTTGCCAAGATAACATGTATTTATAAGTCATACTGGTTTTGCAAAATGTTATGGTTTGTGTTACAATGAACTTTATTAAAAAAATAAAGTTGTTAAGAGAGTGACTTGTTTTATAAAGTTTGAAGAAAGAGCAGGATTTGTTTTAAATGAATTGAACTTAGAAATACACCAGTATTATTAACCCAATGAGGAATAATAGGATTTGTGTCATATAGAAGTTTTCAAAAGAGATGGTAGTATTATAAACTTTGTGAGGAATAACCAAGTTTGTGTCACAAAGAACAGTTTTGAGAAGGTAGTATTAGTAACCTAGTGAGGAATAGCAAAGTTTGTGTCACAAAGAACAGTTTTGAGAAGGTAGTATTAGTAACCTAGTGAGGAATAGCAAAGTTTGTGTCACAAAGAACAGTTTTGAGAAGGTAGTATTAGTAACCTAGTGAGGAATAGCAAAGTTTGTGTCAAAAAG